TCGGAAGAGGGCACCTGGTTCATGATTTGTCTTTGTCATTTATCCATTTGGTCCCCGCCTGGACCTCCCTGGTCCTTAATATCACTCTTAGCAGCATTACTTATTGTCTTTTGATAGTGGGATTCATGAACCCGTCGTGTCTTCCGACGGAGGCATAGCTGAGGATGGGTTCAGGGTCTGGGATCCTGTTATCAGGGACCATACAAATAGCTCACTGTACTTATCCCCTTTCCCTCTTCTAAAACCCTTCCTCCCTCTTCTAAAATCCCTCTTCCCTGAGTGGTGGACGCTTTTCCTGAATCTTTGAGTAAGATTGATGCCCAAGGAAGATACACTATTTAGCTAAGGGCTTCCCATACTCCCGGCCTTTGCCACATCTTCCCAGGGATCTGAGTGCTCCAGATTGAGAAGTACAGCCTTAAAAGATAACCAGAATTCTGGTGGGTGGCAATGGTAGGGAAGAGGACTCCAGGTGGAGGGACTTGCAGGTCAGGGAACTGCAAGCTGGTCGTGGGCTCAGTGATTAGAGAAGCTGGTAGGGGAGTTGTATGAGATCAACCTAGACAAGGAGATGGAGCCAAAATTATGGAAGGCTTTGGACACCGTGATCAAAAGTTAGGGCTCGGGCTTCCCTGGTGGTGCAGTGGTTGAGAGTCCGCCTGCCGATGCAGGGGACGCGGCTTCGTGCCCCGGTCCGGGAGGATCCCACATGCCGCGGAGCGCCTGGGCCCGTGAGCCATGGCCGCTGAGCCTGCGCGTCCGGAGCCTGTGCTCCGCAACGGGAGAGACCGCAGCAGTGAGAGGCCCGTGTACCGCAAAAAAAAAGAAAGCTGAGGGGAAGTTTTGCTTATTTACCCTCCATTGGAGGAATTAAGGGAAGTAGACGCTTGATTTATTAGGTATCAGTATGACTGGCTGATTCAGTCAATTTGGAGGACAGAAGCATTAATGGAGCTGGAAGTCTGCTGTAGAGACACAGGCTGGATCATTCCATGGATAAACACCGGTTACGTGAAAACCAGTGTTCTGGAGGAAAATACTGCTAGAAGTCCTGAAACTGGAGAGCAAGTCTGTGGTTAAACCACCCTCTACGCAGGGCAGGCTCGAGTTAATATGATGGTCCGTAAAGCTCTTCAAGTGTGTCCCATGTTCCCTTTTAAGGTCTTTCTCCCCAGGGTGCAAGTGTCTCTCATGCTAAACCTGGATGCCCAAGAATCGCCATTAGGAGTAGGTTCCCACATGTCTCGGTTGGCCTGAGGGAGTCTTAGTTTATGCCTGTAGTCTTGGCATAAATTATTAACAGCCCCTCCCTTTTCCTTCCCATGAGTATCCTGTTTGATCAATTGGGGGTCACCCAGGCAGTGCTCTGACTCTCTACCCTCCCCTTTCCAAATTTGTGTAATGTAAACCCAATGTGTAGGGCAAACGTGCATCCCCAAATCATCTCGGAGATGATTTCCAAAAACAGTCCAAGAGGAGAGCCCGGCTTATAGATAGTAGTGCCAAAATGGCGGGAGTTGTGCGACCTTGGACAAATCAGTTCATGTCGCTGAGCTGTGTCTTAATCTGTAAGATGGGGGTAATGGATCACCTTTGTTTCCCTCCTTAGAATATTAAGAGGCTCGAGCATTGTGAAGGACTCTTCTAATGTGTACCAGAGCAGGCTTAAGAAACAAACATTAACTGCGCTAAAGTTCTTCTTTCCAGATGTAGCTGCATTTTAACATTCCTTCACCCCCCCCCCCCCCCCCCCCTGAAATTTCAGGCTTCGGCAGCTAATTGATGGCTCTTCCATTGCAGCATTCTAAATAACAGTGAATAGGAAAACGCTGCTTCTCCCAACTTAAAAGCTATAATACTGAAAAGCTAAGATGCTAAAAGCTAAATATGTAACTAAGTTTTTTATGAACCTCAGTAATTGACAACTACAGTCATGGGGTGGAGGTCGGGGTGCTGTTTAGACCAGTGAGAACCATCAACCCGGACTGTTTAGTTTCAAATGTAGCAAAAGAGAGGCAGCAAACGGGAATTTTAAATTCTGATTCTTGATGTATTTTAGAAGGTGTATTTCTTGGTGTATTTTATACTTTCAGGTGTTTCCAATGTGGACCTCGAAGAGACAACTTCTCATCCTTTTTGACATGATCCTAATTTCCGAACTCCTTGGGGCTAGATGGTTTCCTAAAACTCTGCCCTGTGATGTCACTCTGGATGCTCCAAACGCCCATGTGATCGTGGACTGCACAGACAAGCATTTGACAGAAATTCCTGGAGGTATTCCCACCAATGCCACCAACCTCACCCTCACCATTAACCATATAGCGGGTATCTCTCCAGCATCCTTCTACCGGCTGGACCACCTGGTAGAGATCGATTTCAGATGCAACTGTGTACCTGTTCGACCGGGGCCAAAAGACAATGTGTGCACCAGAAGGCTGCAGGTTGAACCCAGCAGCTTTAGTAAACTCACTTATTTAAAATCTCTTTACTTGGATGGAAACCAGCTTCTAGAAATACCTCAGGATCTTCCTCCCAGCTTACAGCTGCTGAGCCTTGAGGCCAACAACATCTTTTCGATCATGAAAGAGAACCTAACAGAACTGGCCAACCTAGAAATGCTCTACCTGGGCCAAAACTGTTACTATCGCAATCCTTGTAATGTTTCGTTTTCCATTGAAAAAGATGCTTTTCTAAATATGACGAATTTAAAATTGCTCTCCCTAAAAGATAACAATATCTCAGCTGTCCCCACTATTTTGCCACCTTCTTTAACTGAACTCTATCTTTATAACAACATCATTGCAAAGATCCAAGAAGATGATTTTAATAACCTCAATCGACTGCAAGTTCTTGACCTAAGTGGAAATTGCCCTCGTTGTTATAACGCTCCGTTTCCTTGCACACCCTGTGAAAATAATTCTCCCCTACAGATCGACCTAAAGGCTTTTGATGCATTGACAGAATTACAAATTTTACGTCTACACAGTAACTCTCTTCAGTATGTGCCCCAAAGATGGTTTAAAAACGTTAACAAACTTAAAGAACTAGATCTTTCCCAAAACTTCTTGGCCAAAGAAATTGGGGATGCCAAATTTTTGCATCTTCTCCACAACCTTGTCCAATTGGATCTGTCTTTCAATTATGAACTTCAGGTCTATCGTGCATTTATGAATCTGTCAGATGCATTTTCTTCACTGAAAAACTTGAAAGTTTTGCGGATCAAAGGCTATGTCTTTAAAGAGCTGAGAAGTTCATACCTCTCCCCATTACATAATCTTTCCAATCTTGAAGTTCTTGATCTTGGCACTAACTTTATAAAAATTGCCGACCTCAGCATATTTAAACAATTTAAAACATTGAAATTCATAGATCTCTCAGTGAATAAAATATCACCTTCAGGAGATTCAAGTGAAGATGGCTTCTGCTCTAACATGAGAACTTCTGTAGAAGGTCATGGGCCCCACGTCCTTGAAGCATTACATTATTTCAGGTATGATGAATTTGCAAGGAGTTGCAGGTCCAAAAGCAAAGAGCCTCCTTCTCTCTTGCCTCTTAATGAAGATTGTTACAAGTATGGGCCGACCTTGGACCTAAGTGGAAATAATATATTTTTTATCAAGTCTTCTGAGTTTCAGTATCTTTCTTTCCTCAAATGCCTAAACTTATCAGGAAATAGCATTAGCCAAACGCTTAATGGTAGTGAATTTCAGCCTTTAGTGGAGTTGAAATATTTGGACTTCTCTAACAATCGGCTTGATTTACTCTACTCAACGGCATTTGAGGAGCTACGCAACCTGGAAGTCCTAGATATAAGTAGTAACAGCCACTATTTTCAATCAGAAGGAATAACTCACATGCTAAACTTCACCAAGAACCTAAAGGTTCTGAAGAAACTGATGATGAACAACAATGACATCGCTACCTCCACCAGCAGGACCATGGAGAGCGAATCTCTTAAAATTCTGGAATTCAGAGGAAATCATTTGGATATTTTATGGAGAGATGGTGATAACAGATACTTAAAACTCTTTAAGAATCTGCTGAGCTTAGAGGAATTAGACATCTCTGAAAATTCCCTGAGCTTCTTACCTAGTGGAGCTTTTGATGGTATGCCTCCAAATCTGAAGACCCTCTCCCTAGCCAAAAATGGGCTCAAGTCTTTCAATTGGGGAAGACTCCAGTACCTGAGGAATCTAGAAACGTTGGACCTCAGCTACAACCAACTGAAGACTGTCCCTAAGAGATTATCCAACTGTTCCCACAGCCTCAAGAAATTCATACTTAAGAACAATCAAATCAGGCACCTGACAAAGTATTTTCTACAAGATGCTTTCCAGTTACGACATCTGGACCTGAGCTCAAATAAAATCCAGGTTATCCAAAAGACTAGTTTTCCGGAAAACGTCCTCAACAATCTGAACATTTTGTTTTTGCATCACAATCGGTTTCTGTGCAACTGTGATGCTGTGTGGTTTGTCTGGTGGGTTAACCATACAGAGGTGACAATTCCTTACTTGGCCACAGATGTGACTTGTATGGGACCAGGAGCACACAAGGGCCAGAGTGTAGTGTCTCTGGATCTATATACCTGTGAGTTAGATCTGACTAACTTCATCCTGTTCTCACTTTCCATATCGGCAGCTCTCTTTCTGATGATGATCACAACAGTAAACCATCTCTATTTCTGGGATGTGTGGTATAGTTACCATTACTGTAAGGCCAAAATAAAGGGCTATCGACGTCTGATATCACCAAATTCTTGCTACGATGCTTTTATTGTGTATGACACTAAAGACCCAGCAGTGACAGAGTGGGTTTTGGATGAGCTGGTGGCCAAATTGGAAGACCCAAGAGAGAAATGTTTTAATTTATGTCTCGAGGAAAGGGACTGGTTACCAGGGCAGCCTGTTCTGGAAAATCTTTCCCAGAGCATACAGCTTAGCAAAAAGACAGTGTTTGTCATGACAGACAAGTATGCAAAGACTGAGAATTTTAAGATAGCATTTTACTTGTCCCATCAGAGGCTCATGGATGAAAAAGTGGACGTAATTATCTTGATATTCCTTGAGAAGCCCCTTCAGAAGTCCAAGTTTCTCCAGCTCCGGAAGAGGCTCTGTGGGAGTTCTGTGCTTGAGTGGCCAACAAACCCACAGGCTCATCCGTACTTCTGGCAGTGTCTGAAAAACGCCCTGGCCACAGACAATCATGTGACCTACAGTCAGGTGTTCAAAGAGACAGCCTAGCCCTTCTTTGCAAAATGTGACTGCCTAACTTACCAAGGAGAGGCTCGGCTGCCTAGATTGGCTCATCCGTGTCCCACCAAAAGAGTGTTTTAAACTTTCCTAGGCCCTGAGATTGCCCGTATTGGAGAGGAGTCACCGATATATGACAAAGGAACTGGAAACTTGGGATTTATATAAGCATCAAGTCATCTTTCTTAGCTCTCTCTGTCTCCATTTGCAGTTGAGTCTCTGCCTTCTGCTCCTGTATAAAATACTGTTGGGAGAAGGGTGGCAAGTAGAGGACATGGCACTTTGATTCTCCTGGAATTGTGATTATTACATAAACACACAGTCACTAAATTGAGAAGAACTGCATTTCTACCCTTAAGAAGTACTGGTATGTATGGAAATAGGGTAAAAAAAGAATGCTCAGGGTCTACCTGTATGACATTAAAATGCACCAGAGTTAATTAGTGGGAATAAACCAAAAAGGAAAACAGTTAACTCCTCAACCAATTGCTTGAGTGTAATCTAGCACCCCCTTCTGTGCAGACTGAGTGTTGGCACCCAACAGGTGGTTGCTGCTCAAGTGCTCCTCGCTCGTTTCCCCTGGGCCTGTTATTGGGTTCTGTGGGGAAGTAGAAACATCTTTGCCATTGATGGGCATAGTCTGCTTACAAATGGGAGAAAAAGAAAGTGCTCTGCCTTTATGCAAAATGATGCTCTTTACCTTTGATGATAATTTACCTGCTTAAATATTGCTGTGGACTAAATGTTTGTGCCCACCCCCAAATTCATATGTTGAAATCCTAACCCCCAATATGACGGTATTAGGAGGTGGGGTTTTTGAGAGGTGATTAGATCACGAGAGTGGAGCCCTCATGATGGGATTACTGCCTTAGAAGAAGCAGCCAGAGGACTAACTTGCTGTGTTCCCACGGCGTGAGGATACAAAGAGAAGTGGGCAGTCTGCAAGCCACAAGAGGACTCTCACCAGAACCAGATCGTGTTGGCACTCTGATCTCAGACTTCCGTCCTTCAGACCTGTGAGAAATAAATGTTTGTTCTTTAAGCCACCCAGTTTGTGATGTTTTGTTATAGCAACCAAGCTAAGACCAATATTTTCATCTGCACTGAAAAGTACGGTGTCCAAAGGAAAATTGCCTCATCCAGTGATCTTTCAAACTGCTTTGTTAACTAATACTGTATATTTATAATCATCTGAAAACTTGATCCATCAACATTAGACGATTTTGGTGGTAAACTCTGAGGAAGGACCCCGAGAGCATGTATTTATTTAGAGTTATCAGACAGGGATGACAACTGCATGGATTCCTTTAAATTTGGGGGCAGGGGGAGGAACAGAGGTTTATCGACCTTAACACTGAGAAAGCCTCGGTCTTGAGCTTCGGCTTCACTACTCAAAAAAACAACAGAAAGGACCAAGATGTTCTGAAGACACACCTTCCAAGTGGGTGTAAATTTGCATGAGTTCAAAGTTTGAAACGTGACCAATTTGCTTTTATTTCGTGAAAGAAGTTATCTACAGAGGTGTCTGTGCCCTTTGGAAGATAGTGTGTAAGGGTTCACATCCGAGAGTATGAGCTGGGATATACTGTATTTTCCTCGTATGTGGAAAAGCCAAAGGTTTTACTTTAAGGAGGGCTATAAATACACAGTATATAAATTATTTCCAAAGGACACATAATCAATTAATAAGAGTCACAAATTCCCAAATTAATCTCTGGACTGAATAGAGCCAATGATCTGACAACCTCTATAAACTTGATTGTACCTCATAGATGCCTTCTTCGGTGAAAACAAAGATAGCATCATAAAAATTGGCTTTGGCCTGATAAACTTTCTTCTATTAGAACACATAAATACAGGGACTGCCCTGGCGATCCAGTGGTTAAGACTCTGTGCTTCCACTGCAGGGGGCACGGGTTCGATCCCTGGTCGGGGAACTAAGATCCCGCATGCCACGGGGTGCAGCCAAAAAACACACACACACATAAGGTTTAAGCTACTTTGGTGATTCATGAAGCCCTTGAAGACAACTTAAATATCTGAAATGGATCAAGAGGAAGGGAAACTGAAAACAATGCAACTCAGAAACCACAGTGTACTTCAACATGAGATTGTGTACAGTGGTTTGTTGTAAGAAATGACCAAAAGCACTTCAACAGATGGTTTTCATTTTAATTCCTTTGTAATCTCGACAAGTCACTCTTTTAACCTCCGGACGGTCTTCTGTGGAGTCCTGTTCTATTGGGGCCATTCACAGATGGCACAGATCAAAAGCCACCAACTCAGGCCACCAGGGGCGTGTGATGGCTAGTTCTCCTGCCAAGCTCTGAGTGTCCTGCTCTCAGCTGACCCACTTCTGGTTGGCGCTGCTCTAGAAGGGACTCCCGATTCTCCATAAATCCCACTCTACCATCAAGGGGTTCCCAACCTCTTTCAACCCTGAACCTGGCCAGGGTGTGTCCTTCCTCCTCGGATAGAGGCTGTACCTCAGCAAGACTTGGGCATCTGTAGGATCCAAGCCAAGGGAAGCATTAGGCAGGTAAGTGTTACGGCTGAGAAAAAGGCAAAGCAAGTGTTTGCAGCCCATAGAACGGAGAGAAGATGAGTCTAGCCATAGACCCGCTGCTGACTCAGGGTCTCTTGGCCCCATCCTCACATCTCCTTCCAGCTCTATCTGTCTGAATGGTCTTAGGTCCAGCTGGTCTCTTAAATGTAGTCAGGCAATACAGAGTATATGAGAGGGGCAGTGGTGACTTAACAACCTGGGCGTCTTGTTCCCCAGTCTCCAAGGAAACTGTAATGGGGACAGCAAGGATGCACACTCTTCTTTTTCAGGAACCTGTCCCCCTCCACCCCCGTAAAACATGCTTTTCATTTACTTCCTCCTTCTCATCCTAACCAGAGAGAACCAGGTTGCATCTCCTGTGAGGTATTTATGGCCCAGTTTTAAAACGGGGGGGGGGGGGGGGGGGGG